AGAGAGAGAGAGAGGTGGGTTGTTTTTTTGGGGGGGTGGGTGGGGTGGTGTAATGGTGCTTTTTAACTTGTTTTCTCACTTACAATCCCTTGAATGGATCCAGTTAGGGCTATAACAGATGCAACCAAACAAATACAGCTGAAGGTCTGAAAAATAAGCCACTTGCTTGTCCAGGTCTGCACATTCTTTTGCACAATGTACATTTGAATAGGGAAATAAACAGCAATTGGCCAGAAATTAAGAGCCCCAAGTACACCCAGCACTTGATTGAAGTAAGGAAAAAACATTGCCAAGCCAGTGGTTGAGACAACATATGCAGTCCTAAAGCAAAGCCTAAGTAAATTTAACTGGAAAGTAGGAATGAATGGGATGTGAAGTGTGTATGTTGTTTTCATTAGTGCACAAGTTGGGAATGTTTGGATTAACCATTTCTCTACAAATGCAAAAAGGGGCTGACTGTACACCTGCATAAAGAAGGTACAAAAAACCATCTTAAAAACTTGTAGAACTGCAACAAAGTCCTTGAATATGGTAGTAACACAAAAATAGACATTATATCTGGCTTTCCCAATATCCCCAATGTTTCAAAAGTGAAAAAAAAAAAAGAGACAAAAGAAAAAAAGATCCTCCTTAATGTTTTCCAAAACACCCTTCGAAATCCATAGTTACTCATTGTATGGAATTCTTAATAACCTTCTCCCCTCCTTATCATTACCCGCTGTTAAGGAAGCGCTCATCATTTCCATATTAAAGTTGTTTTTTTCCTATATTCATGAAAGAGTTTTTTCTTTCTTTACAGCTTTTGATAAAGCCCTCTTCTTTGTGGCATTTTGCAAACATGGTTTAATTCTTGTTATGCCAACCATGAATAGTGACAAGCCACGCTAACACCCTACTTATATCAGGGCAACTTCCTGGGAGTTTTATTTCTAATTCAAAAAATCGAGATGTTCGCTTATATCTAATATTTCCACATTCACGAGCATAAAATTTGTGTATAAGGAAATCAAGTTTCATGTTGGGTTTCATTTACCTGATAGCCCCCCACCAAATGAAGCACAATGCAGGCATTTGCAAAGTCTATGAGCCAATATGGCTCATAAAAACCGAACCCAGTCAAGAGATTTCCAGGTGTTGAGTCTCCAAAGGAGGCATAGCCAAAGCATCCACAACACAGATAGAAGAAAGTAGTAATCACAATGGCTGTCATTGAAGCTCTCTTCATTGTGTGGTTCTCTGGTGGAGGTGCCTTGAGTGTATCCTGCAATTCCATGGTAGTGAGGAACTTCTCTTTCTTTTTTCACAGAGCAAGCAAGCAATCATTTTTATTTATTTTTCTCTCTTTGTGTGAACTTCAAAAAAAATAAGTTTTTCTTTAATGTGGTCATTGTAATTATAAGTTTATAATTTAAGTATTTGATTCCTTGTGTTATTTCGAGTATGGCAAACATAACCATTGCTATTAGATTCAGATTGGCCATGGAACTGGTTAACAGTTTGATAGCTCTGGTCCAATAAAAAGTGGTACGAATGCTGGTCAAATCAGTTGGGCTAAGTTAAAAGAAAATAAGAAAGGAATAATAATGTAAGCTAAACTTGGGGAGTGAGGGCAATTCATAAGTTTATGGAACTAGAATAGCCGACCTGACAAGCCCTACTCTCAATTGTGAGACTTGAGTAGATGGGATAGCTTGAGTCACACTCTCACAAGTTGGCTCCTGAGCGTTAAATAATGATCCAACAGTCTGGAGTGTTTTATTTTTAATCATTATTCTGTAAATTATTTTGCAACGAATTAGGAAAGTACATAATCTAGCAAGGGCACACTTGATAAAAATAATAAAATATATATTTTTGGATGGAAACTTACGAGAATCCCCCTTAAACTTTAAGCAACATCTTAGTCATTCATTTTCACCATTTTTTTTGTTTTGCTAGGTGCACCCCCAATAAGATGGATGCTCGAAATTTAAATTAGAAAAGTTTTGCAGAAAAAAATAAAAATCAAACAGTATTTGATCTTAGGCTGAAAAGTGAGGACACATATAATTTTATATATGGATAGGGTCACTTAGAAATCCCATTTTGATCTTAGGCTGAAAAGTGAGGACACATATAATTTTATGTATGGATAGGGTCACTTAGAAATCCCATTTGAGAAAGGAGAAAGATGACCAATTTTAAGAGGCCAAATACTTGGACCATTTTGCCCTGACCTGTATCTCGATGAGAACAATGGAATATGGATATGCGAAAGCAATGTCTCCTAGAGCCTGGCACACCCTTGACAATTTCGCAACCGTTGATGACATTGCCACTCCTGTTATATTTCCATATATTTTTCCATTTTCTGCATTTTCACAACATATAAAAACATAGGAATGTTCAATATAAATTAAATCTTAAGTACACGAACTAACCAGACTTAGTGTGTATGTGTGTGTGCATGTCACCCGGCTTGGCAGGCTGGGTCTAGGTCCAGTAACTGGGACTGTACTCAGATACAAGATTTGGGTCTCACCTCAACCTATTTGGTTAGGGTCCAGGTTGGGGTTGAATAGGACCTAATCTGATCCGTTTACGGCCTGAAGTGTTACCGTTTACCGCTGAAGTGTTTTAAAGGATGGACTTGAGTTGGGACTCGCTAAGGTCCACTTGACCAAATTTGAAAGTGACTAGGCTGAGTTTAAAAAAATTGGCAATAAAACTTGGGAACATGTGAGTCTAGCTAGCTCTCAAAGTTTTTATCTCGGGGATTCTCTACAATGAGACCATTTATCGTTAGGACGATGAGTCACAATTACTTATAACCATTTGATACGAAATTTGATAGCTTGACTGCATTACAATGTTCGAGAATTTTTTTTGAACTTTAAGCATGATCAATGGAATAAATGCAGCCACCCAATTTTACATCCAATGGTTAAAATTAATTGTAACTGCCTTATACCGAAAAAGTAAATTGTCTAATTGTATGCTTTTCCTTTATCAAGACATTTTGTTGAGTTGAGTAACTCAAGCTAGTCCCAGCAGACTCGTTGAGTGTTCGAAACCTTATGGGAATAATTTTATGTGCACAATATTAATACGAGGTTAACACCCAAAAATATGTTCAAGTTGAACTTAGAGGGGATCCTGCAGGTTAAAATTCATGACTGAACCACATAATTCCTTCGCTGCAAAAAATGCTTGTTTATTGTATATATTGTTCATTTTAGTATGGTAATTTTGGTTAATTTAAGGAATACAATAGATTTTTTACCTAAAAAGATGGGCATGTACATGCAGGGAGTAAATTTTTTGGATATGTTCCTCTTTTTTTCTTTTTTGTGCAACACCAGTGTGGTTGTATTCTTTTAATATGAGATGATCTTACATCGCATATTTACTTAGTATCACCATGGAAATTTACATAGGGATATGGGATATCTTTGTTCTTCTTTGAGGTCCTGCCATAACTTCAAAACAATAGAATTTTGGGAGAAAAAAAAGTTAGCAAATTTTGACACTTCATGCTATGCTAGGTTTAATTGATTAACTAACAACCACACAAAATTTTGTTTGGTCCCCGTGACCACATATCTCTTCATAACTTCTGAAGAAAGCTCAAGTTTAGCGTTTAAAGAATTAGGATTTAAAAAAATATACAATAAGACTTTTTATCTTCGATACAAGAAAATGACGATCACTCTTAGCCATTAGATGTGGAAGCGGACGTCTTATAGTATATAATCACTGACGGCTACACATGATCTTGACCTCCTCGTACTAAAGATTGAAGGTCTTATAGTATATAATCACTTGAGGATGACCCCATTATTATTAATAACTATTTAGTTGAATCGCGGTATTATTTGGGTTCAAATCCTATCGAACCCACTATTTAAATCAACATACTTTAGCTTAGAGAAAATAAATTGAAAAAAATACCAATTGTTTTGGCAAGGCCAAGGCCGAATCCAATAGATGAATAGGAGAAAGACATAGCTGCTGCAACAATGGAGAGCCATCCCATGTTGTGGAAATCAGGTATCTGAGAGCATACCAACTGTACCACCCCAAATGTTAACATATATGCTGTATCTCCATATTTACATGCAGCTTCATGCCCTTCTATGTGAAAGCAATTAGATCTCTGAATAGCTCTGCATTTACAGCAAAAAGAAGTAGAAAAGAGAAAAGAAAAAGATTGGTCAACCAAAGTAAATAAAAATGCTTTTATATCTACCAGTGCTTAGTCACATGAACACCTCCCAAGAAAAGGAAAATTAAAAAATTTGAAGATAGAAAAAAGAAAAATCCATGAATTATACTTTTAGGAAATATTTAATGTTCATGTGTATTAGAACCAGTATTGGAAACCTCTATGAGTCCGACTGGGACTTGCCCGAGTAACTTGGGCTTGGCAGCCTGCTGATTCTGGAGCCAAACACGGGGGAACTGGCTGAGCCGGCTGGTTAACAAATTGTTTGTTCGTATTTTTGTTTTGGACTCGGTCGACCCTGTTACACCTGACTCAGGCTCAGGACCCTTTGCGAGAGTCATGATCATAGTCCTTGTTTCTAAGCACGGATTAGTTAAGACTCAAAGCTACAAGAAATAGGGATACCTCAAACTGGAGGAAGTAGTGATTACATAAGCAATTGCAGTCGTATACATGCTCAGATACTGTAGAAAACCACATAGGCATTTCTGGTTTTTCCCTGGATTGAGCCATCAAACGTTTCTTTTAATAAAAACCGATCTCTTGGCCTAAAAATAGATGAAGTTATGATCCTTCAAATTGTGTATGTATCTAAAATTTTTGTGTGTGTATACATACTACTACCAAGATTACACCTAACAGCATCCATATACGTGTAATTCCTCCTTCCATTAACCGAGTCAGGATGTCGATAGCAATGACGAAGTAGCATAGGTAACGATCGCGAAAAAGAGCAAAGATGAGGGGCCTCTGATCCATCCCAACTGAGCTGTGCTCCAAGCCAGTGACAGAACTCCTGAGCCAATAACTGCTCTAATTATATGGGAAATGCAGTTCCATATAGGCCCTGTTTATGATTTTTAACCGAAAAGCTTCAAATTAGACGTACAGATGTTTTCATGCGATGATAGAGATAAAAACTGTGGATTCATCAGTTATTCGGGTGTTACCGGTTCTCTTTGGCCGACCATCTTCATCGAAAGAATTACTTATCGCTCCCTGAGAATTGGGTGTTTGGTTTTCAGTAGTCATTGTTGAAATTGGTGTTAAGAAAAAGCTTCAAATTAGACCTATAGATGTTTTCATGCAATGAAAGAGATAAAAACTATTGGTTATTTGGGTGTTGCCGGTTCTCTTTGGCCAACCATCTTCATCGAAAGAATTACTTATCGCTCCATGAGAATTGGGTGTTTGGTTATGAGTAGCCATTATTGAAATTGGTGGTAGGAAATTCTGAGAAGAATCGATATATATCTCAAGTTTTTTGTCAACATGGCTAAATCTTGATTTTGGGGTGCTGAAGAGAGAACATTTTTTTCTTTTTTTTTGTCAATGTGGCTAAATCTTATTTTTGGGGAGGTAAAGAAAGATTTATTTTTCTTATTAAACTTCCACCATTTGTATGGGGGTGGACCGGTTAAATAGATTTTTCTTTTTTATCTATAGTTGGTGTAGGGATGGACCAGTGAATTGACTGTCATAGAATAAGGCTTTACCATGGTCTACTGAAAGTGGGTGTGAAGTCTTATTCTGATTTTAAAGAAGTTTGTCTGTTTTCTTGCCTTGGACCGATATGAAGATTCCGAAAAGTTGCTACTTTAGGCTAAGGAATGGTTTGTATCTAACTCTGAAGAGAATGAGCTTGCCACCAGATTTGTATGACTATTTGCATTCAATTACACCTATCCTGATCTTCGTCTCGCCCATAAGGCTAGGCCGAGTAACTCGGCCTAGTCTCGGACTAGAACAGAAGCAAAAATGTGAAAGGAAGAAACACAGGCTCAGAATTCATAGTGACTGGGCTTTCTCACTTCTTTTCCCCTTCTTTCTCTAGCTCTCTCTTCATACCACCATCTCTATTTTTTTTCTCTCTCTAATTCCTCCACTTCTCTTTTCTTTCGGATCCATCCATCCACCTCTGTGAATTCTCTCTCAGTACATTTTCTCTCTCTTCCTCTGATTCTTCCCCTTCTCTTGGATTCTTTTTTAGAAGTAATGGTTGCTTTTTTGTCGCTGTGATGTTTCCCTATAAAGAGTTCAAGATCGTGGTCTTTTAGGACCCCAAATTTTGGGGATGTCACATCTTCAACGTATAGATTAATTTCAATAAATAAAAATAAAGGTCTTGAAAAAAATAATGTCTTTAGATTGAATAGAGGTCCTTTAGTATTTAGTATGTAGTTAGTGAGATTTAAGTGGTAGATAATTCAAAATTATTATTATTATTATTATTATTATTATTTGCTTCAGAACAATCACCTCTAGTAATTCTTAAGTAATTTCCAAAATTTTTGATTCGTAAGTTAAATCGTGCTCCTGAGGGAGCATAGAAGACGTGCTCTTTTTATATTAAATGGAGTGATTTAAAGGGGAGTTGATTTTTCATTGATCATTATTTAAGGCTCCTTTTCCTCTATGTAGTCTTTGTTCACTAATATTCTCTCTAGTGTTAAAAACATTTTTAATTCAATCTTTAAAGGGTGTGGTTTCTATAAGGTTGTAACAATAAATAATCCAATTAAGGAGCATCTTCAAATTTTATCATGATATGTAATTTTGGTATGAAAAATTCTTACGATTATCTTAAAATCTATTTTTATATCAAATTTCACAATTTTAAACTCCAAATATGGTTAAAATCAAGTAGATACATAAAAAATAAAAATCTTGAAAATGGACAGTCTAGATAATGTGTTGCAAGATGCATTATTTCTAGGACTCAAAATTTTTTCTTTTTCATATTCATACATCTCGGTATTAAGAATATAAATTAGAGGGTTTTTCAACATTAAAACAACCTTTTTCAATGGATTGATTTTTGATGTACATCTTTAATTCTACATTTTAAGGTTGCAATCTTTTATAAACTTTTTCCATCTTTTAATGGTTTTTTTTTAAAAAAAGACAATACTTTCATACTTCCACTAGGCAATACTATCCATTTAGGCCCTTGAGCAAAACCCATTCGAGTATCTTTAGGACCTCAAATTTTGTTGATATATCCTCTTCAATTCACAAACTAATCTCAAGATTGAATAGAGAAGTATCAGAGAATTCAAAATTCAAAATTTTCTTTTAAAAATAATCATCTAATAATTTTTAAGTGCTTTTCAAAATTTCACATAAAAAATTCTTTCCAAGTACCATGCCCAAGGGAACAACCACAACCCACGAGAGCCCAAAATGGTTGCAGGAGAAGTTTATGATATTGATACCACGAGTATCCTTCATTTAAATACTAGAGAGAGAAAAAGAGATAGAGAGGCAGCGTTATATGGGCACCGATCGTAGTTATCTAGTGTAGGGGTGGCAATGGACTGAGACCCTTCGGGTTTACTAGAACGGGTCCAACATTTGGGCCCGACGGGTCGGGTCCTGGTTCAAACCTGGACTTGAACACTATTTAGGTTTGGGTCTGAGTTCCGTTGGACCTGATCCATACCCACAAATTGTTGGAGATAAAATACTTCAAGCGGTATTCATTTGGGTATATTAAGGATCATATACAACAAGAATTCATATTCGTCTTTCGCTATGAAACAATAAATAAGACAACTTGAAATTTAATAGTTGGTGGTAATTTTGTTGCCAATAATTTTGGTATATGATGGTACAAAAAAAAGCAAAAAAAAAAAAACAGAAGCTCGTAGTGAGGATGGCAATGGACCCGACCATACCCGGGACCCGATGGGTATGGGTATGGATCCAACTTTTGGACAAGACGGGTCGGTTCCGGGTCCAAAACTTGGACCCGAATACATTCGGGTTTGGGTTCCGGTCTTGTAGGACCCTATCCATACCTGACATTTTGCCACCCCTAATCTAGTGATCGGTTACCATCACGTGGTCTCCAAGGTATAAAGCATCCATCTTAAAATGGATGCAAATACATGGTCCATCTAAAAATAATTGAAACTACCTGTCCAAATGTTTTTTTAATAAAATTATTATTTTAAAATTTCAAAATTTATTTATTTATTCATATTCATGATCTCTAACATAGAGATTACATGTTTTTAAAAATTAGGATTTTTAAGAGATGACTCATTTCTACATGGACTCATAGAATTCATAAAAAGAAAAAACTAAAAAAAAAACATTTGAGTGAGTGATTTAACATGTTATATCAAAGCATATTTCCCTTGCATGATTAAGGACTTCCTTTCAGTTATGTATGATCTGATTGATTCGGTTTTATATGATCCATTTGGATAGATAACTAATAGATCACGTAGTTTATCACCATGCAACTGATGTGTTGATGGTGATGTAGGAAAAGTGGAGATGTGCTGCCCAATTACTATCAATTATTTGAATGGTATGGTAGGACAAATTCCGCTCCATAATCGCCAACCCATCGATAGGATGGTGATAAAGAGTGTGCCAGGACGTCTTGGCTAGGGACCTTCCCCCTGGCTGAGGCAAGTTACTCGACTCGTCCTGAGGACTCCCTAAAAAAATTTGAAAAACAAAAAATATGTAGTAAAAGTAAATTGAAATCTCAAACAAATTTTAAAATTTAAAACAAGATTAAAAACGTAGATAATATCGAACAAGTTTAAAATATTCACAAAAAGAGGAAAATATGAAAAATTAGTAATTATAGCAAAAAAGGTCAGCATTCTATGCCAAATACATCCAAATGGTAAAAGAATATAAAACAATCCAATTTTTTTTAATTTTTTTTAAATTTTTACAACTTGGGGAAACCCGGCCGCACCCATAAAGCAAGTCCAAGCGGACTCGGACGAGTCACGGCACACTTGTGATAAAATTACCATCATCGTTCTGATTATGATCATGTGAATCACATTATATGGGAGTTTCAAAGTTGGCATACCTCATAGACTTTGCAGAGGTAATTGTGTAGGCAACTCCACAACCGTAAAGCCCAATTTGCTGAAAGAACCCACAAAACCACACGCTCTTCTCACCTAAAAGTACAATTCAAAATTTTATTACCAAAAAAAAAAAAGGTAATATTAACTCATGTCACCAAAAAAAAAATTTCAATTTTGTACATGTTTTTATAAATGTCAACAAGGTCATAGAACCCTACGTAATGGGGACACTCGTGTCTATCGTTTTCTACTTATATCAATACATCTAGGAAACGACTCTCTCGTATGCCATTTTTGTCTACATCCAATGTTGACTCACATATTCATGTCTATTTACCGGCTAGACATAGATGTCATTAATGGGGGGCAATATATATAACCTAAAACCTCCCGGTTCGACTCGGGAATCGGCACAGCCCGTGTCGGTTCTAGCACAAAACCAGGAACCGTCGGTTCTGTTCGGTTTCCTCTCGGTTCTAGCCTCAAAACCATATTCACACTTGTGTACGCATCACGCATGCGACACATACCATTCCCACACGTGCAGTTTTAGCCTGTTCAGGCCTCAAAAACACTTTCACACGTGAAACACACACCACTCCCACATGTGCCACACGCACATGCACACGTGCATCTGCACGATTGCCCTAGTGTTTTCACACTTGTCTTTATCTTCCAATTACTTAGTTTATATAGCATATGTGAATACTCATCCTTCGATGTGGGATAATTTCTAAACATCATTAAATGAAAACAGAATGTAAATATATGCTGGTAATTTTAAACACATATGCTAAGGAGGTATGATGGTTATCACTAATGTTATTTGTTTTGACTTCTCAAGTTTGAATTCCCCCTTGGGCCATATAATAGTTTATCGTTTTTTGAGCTAATTTTTGTTCCCCCTTGGGCATATAATAAATTAAAGTGTTATTTCTAAAATTTGTATGCATTTTATTAATTTTTACATTGATAACCAAATATTTTATTTTATTTATTAATTTTTACATTATAAATCATGTAATGTATTATTTTTCTTACAGTTGTCAATAATACATTTTAAATTAGATAATATTATAAAATATTTTTAATTTGTTATTATTTATCTAATAAAATAATTATAAAATATAAACTAATAATTATAATTTCAGTATATAATATTATAATTAGTTAAGTCGTAATAATTTTAGATTATAGTTAGTTAGGCTGTAATAATTTGGGTTTTTTTAACGGATTAAGATTTTTTGTCAAAACGAGATTTTAATGGCCATTGATTTAGTCTAGTCTTTATTATAGACCATATATAATTATATATTTTATCCATGATAATTCTATGATTTTTCTTTTATGCGATGCAAATTTAATACTTAAGTTTATACAGGGAAAGAACATCTCAATATTCACAAATTGATGAAAACAATGAAAGGTAATAATGTAGTACCCTCATTTCTTATTGGATTCCTAGAAAACAACATTTACAATCAATTTTAATAATTTTTTCGGATTTTTTTGCAGCTTTAATCCTACTGATTCAGCCGATTCTCGATTCGAATCGTCGATTCACCTATACGGATCGGTTTTTGAAGTGCCTGATCCACTTTTTAAACCATTGCCTAAAACAATAAAAGTGGTGTCGTAAACCTCTTTCTCTTAAGAATATATTTTCAATGTCAAATCTAGCAAATCTATAAATACTTAAAAATTTTGAAAATAGATAGTGTAGATAATATGTTAGAAGATGCATTATTTTTAAGACTAGAAAAACAACAAATTCATTGGTGAAATCCCACCATTGGATCTGCCAAATCTTATGCAATTTAACTTCTTGTCACCTCTAAATTCTCCAGGGAGATACAATTGCAGTAACAAAAACAACTAAGATTATGTGAAAATATATTACACTTAAATTTAACGCTCTAAAAATAGTGCAGATTGAGCCGATGTATAAATATTCCATTTAAATTGAATGGTCAACAATGATTTACAAGATAAATTAATTTAAGTTTCTAAATTCTTTTCTTAATATCTATTTTTTTTTTAAGGATATCATAAGTTCATATAACTTTAAATTGCATAAACAAAGGGGAATACTTTCTATTGACTAATTCTATGCTTTTTTCTATGTTATTCAAATTTAAGTTTAAGTAAAAAGATACATTAAGAGTAGTTTCCATGTAAAACTCTCTCATGTAACCATCTCAAAACTACCGTTCAAACATGTGATATGAACTATTCCAAAGCTAAACGTTCAAAGGGTAGTATTGAGAAAAAAGCAAAATGTGTCCAAAAAGAATGCGGAGGTCGATGGAAAAGACAACATAGGCAAAGGGTAGTATTGAGAAAACAAGCAAAATGTGTCAAAAAAGAATATGCGGAGTTCGATGGAAAAACCACGCTCCAAAAAAAACTAGGGTTTGAGCCACAAAACATAGCCCGAAACTCGAGGCCACGGCACATGATAGCACCGCCAGTTTTGCCCTTGACATTTTGCTATATTTTTTGCTTATTTTTCATAAATTTATAAGGCCTAATCTAGTCCGACCTTGATGGGACACCGGCTAGGCTAAGCATAGAGTCTGCTTAGACACTTGCTAGCTCTAAATATTTAGGCAATTGAAAGAAAACAAGTATTTATTCGTTCGAACAGAAAATGGTGCTTTGTTGAGAGAAATATTTTAAAAATATTAATTTTATTATCCATGATTTGTTTACCAAGCATGTACAGTTGCTCCAGCAAATAGCTGTTTATGAGGATTACGTTGGTTGAAATTTTAAAATCAAATTTAGATATCACAAGATGAGTATTAAAAAAGAAAAAAAGATTTAAGTTTTTAAGTACTCTTTGACCTCAAAAAATTGAACCGTTTTTATTCAATATTAAAATATTAAATTTTATTAAGCCCATATAGAGTTTGTATTGATTTATTATCATCATTATCGTCATCTTCATCACCATCGTTGTCATCGTCATTATTTTCGTTTGGGAAGTTAAATCCCAAAATGTGGAGCCCTAAAAATACTCCTATATAGGTTTTTACATCAAGAAGTGAATAGATGATATGCTACTGCAGAAGCATATGATCTTTTGCCTTGTTTATATAAAATTATTTCCTTCTTACCGGTGTTTGAAACCTAGTAATTTGAATCGGGAATTGCCAATTTAATTTTGAAATCGAACCAGTTCTAAAAAAAATATGGATACCTACACAAAATAGAAGGCTTTCTTATAACCAATATCCAAGCCTTATCTTAAATTGTGTCCACGGGCAATCATGAATACATGCACTCCTTCGTAGTAAATAAGTCATGTAATTTTAAAGAGAGTGGTAAAAGATGTTTTTTCCTTTTTTTTTCTTTTTCTCTTTTTATCCCCGAGCATCATTTCTTTATCAAGGGAGCTTAATTTCTTATTATAAACATAAATAGCAACGCACCAAACTAGTATACCATTCATTTGCCCACAAAGAAAAGAAACTTTAGAAACTCATTGCTATGGTGAATAAAGAGAATATCCAAAAGGGTTCTATTATTATTCCTTTGGGAGGCCTATCATATCAAAACATTCAACCTAACTTTTGAATGGTGAAAACCAAGGCAAATGACTAGATTAATCCAGATTTGAGGTGTACGTGGCTCATCCGGGTTATATTCTTCTATAGTTGAGAACTTAGTCAATTAGGTTGTGGTATGGAAAAATGTGGCTCAGGGGATAAATGTGGGTCTCACCTACTAAGACCGTGTTTGGGTCACATATACTATTCTATGGAAGACTATCTTATCTAAAATTGATATAATCAAGATAATATTATTTTGTTAGCTATTTAGCATATCCTTTGTATTATATATACTATTATTTAATTATTTAACTTTTTTAAAATTTTCAACTATTTTTTAAAATATTATTTTCATAAAATTACTTTGAATTAAGTTAAAACAACTTCTTAAAAGATACATAAAACTACTTATAAGTTTATCTAAAGTAACTTTATGATGGACAATGCAAAGTGACATATGCTTCATTTTCAGGATTGACTTTATAGAAAAAGTGAATTATATGTGATAATGAGTAGATCAAACATGCCCTAAATGTCCAAAATTATTAGTGAAATGAGACAAGTTAGTTTAAACTAATGATTCAAAACACGTCGGGTTGAGTCAAACCAGTTTGAGTCTGCAGGGATTTGCCCAAAAAACCAGTTGGTCCCCCACAACTAAGATCCCTTGTTAGCATTTTCTCAGTAAATTGGTTGAGTCGCCCTCTGGTCTGCTGATTTTCTGACCAATTTTGGCTTAGATCTTGGCGAGTTCAAGCCTTAGTCTATTTTTTTAAACACCTATATAAACCTTAGCGTAAACTGTTTGATTAGATTATGTTACAAAGGAAAATTTATCGAAATACACCTAATCTTTTAATAATTTAACAATTTAGCCTTTTTTTAACTATTCCAACTTATGACCATGTGTATTTTCAATCTAAATTAAAATATATAGATTTAAATGATAAACGATTTATCGTTTATATATAATGTATAAAGCGAGGCTTTTTATTTTTGAGATAGGGAGATCACAGTAATTATTGGTTGTTAGGTATAAAATCGAATGGTTGGGGATATTCATAAAGTTCAAAATAAAATTTTTAAAATATTATAATACATTTAATCTATCAGATATTACATCTATGGATAAAAATCATTATGACAACCTTGCCCAAAAAATGAATGATCTCATTGTATACAGTCCCTCTCGTAAATATCCCTATTCAAACAACCTGAGGTTAACCTTTTGCTTCTTTTCTTCTGTTTTTTTTCCTGATACGGATGATGAACAAGACAAACATTTTGGAGAATCTTTCTCCCTTGGAATCTCTAATGGGCCAGTCGTTTTCGCACGTTCAAATAAGGTTGTGCTTTCACGCGTCATGAGCATAAGATTTTCAATAAGTTTTTACTTTTCTAACCATTTATTGTCACATTCAATGGAAACATCCTGATGCCTATTTTTTTTATGGCTGTGATTGGTCAGTTGGCCGACTCACACTATTTTTGTGCAATCTCCTTACGAAATTATCGATCCAAAAATTTTAGGGTTTCATAATCTCAACCATCACACTGGTTT